AGCCCGACTTTTGTTTTAACCAACTAAATGAAAACAAAGTGTGTCAATCCTGACCAATGTGTTAAAAGACGTGCAGGATCCGATCAATTTGTTTTTCCCTCATTTACCGTAACGGCGCACTGGCTCTGGTGTTAAGTTAAACTTTATCTCTTTCCAACAATTTTCATAAGAAAACAAAACAGTCAAAAGCAGGGCTTGTGTTGACCGGATAGTTCCCGTATTTGACAGTTTATTTTGACGGAGAAAGAATAGAAAGAATTACCCCGACGCATGCAGACGAACTGACATTTTATTCGTTACACACATCGCGGATGTAGCTAAATCACCCAAGAAAAGATTCCCATCTGAACATCTGAGCTGCTCAGCGCATATGTGCACAGCGAGCTGAAGTTGTGGAGATTGGCTTGGAGCGCGTTGCAGAACCAGAGTGCATGCGGGAAGGTTCCTCCTACTGAAGCGAGTGTTTTGCAAACCCTGTCTCTCAGAGAGACTTGTCACTTAGGAATCTTCCCGCATGCGCTCTGGTTCTGCAACGCGCTCCAAGCCAATCTCCACAACTTCAGCTCGCCGTGCACATATGCGCTGACTGCGAGCTTGCTCTGAGCAATGTCCAGCTCAGATGTTCAGATGGGAATCTTTTCTTGGGTGATTTAGCAACATCTGCGTTGTGCGTAGAATAAAATGTCAGTTCGTCTGCATGCGTCGGGGTAATTCTTTCTATTCTTTCTCCATCAAAATAAACCGTCAAATACGGGAACTATCTGGTCCACACAACACAAGCCTTGCTTTTAACTGTTTTTCCGTGACTGTAAATGAGGGGAAAACAACTTGATTGGATCCTGCACGTCTTTTAACACATTGGTCAGGATTGACGCACTTTGTTTTCACTTAGTTGGTTAAAAAAAAAGTCGGGCTCGGGTCGGGCCAGAGAATCCTGAAAACCTTTTCGGAACGGGTCGGGCTGGGGCTCCACCCCCTCGGGCCGGGCCGGACACGGGCTCAGATTTTAGGCCCGTGCAGGGCTCTACCCAGAATCTCTTCAGCTCAGAAAGCGCCTATGATTACGCACAAGCGTGACCCGTCAACCCGGTCTCACAGAAAGACTGGGTTGGAACTGTTCAGGTTTACGCAGACAATCTTTACATAGAATTGACTTACAGATATACAATTAATTCAGTAAAATATAAAGCATTTTATTTAAATATCCATTCATTATTTTACAAGCACAGAGAGCTGCATCAGATGGATGGAAGAGCTGCGGGTTGTGACATGTTTTCTCCAGGACCAGAGAGGACGCAAACTCGATACATCTCTTTTATTGTGAGGTAATAATTTCTCCGAGTTTTGCGGTTGCGGGCGGGAGTAAACAGGCACGCTACGGGTGCGGGCGGGAGTAGACATGCACGCTACGGGTGCGGGCGGGAGTGTAACACACACGTTGCAGTTGTAGGCATTAATGGTCAGAAATTCAGCGGGAGCGGATGAAAAAAACAGTCCCGCGCAGGGCTCTACTGCTGCGTTTGTGTTTCAATTTTTTTAATGAATTCGATTAAAAATAAAGGCACCCGGCCCGGCCCGTGTCCAAGGTAATTACACAGTCGTTGGCCCGGAGCCCGGCCCGAGGGCTGACGGGCCGGGTCGACCCGAGGGCCTAGGGCTTCAGTGCAGGGCTCTAATGTAGAGTTTACTTTCATCTAATCCAGCAGCACTTATTGCCTTGTTTTATAACCATTTTTACTTGTTCCTAAATGTAAAAACAAGTTTTCGAGTCTGAAACGCGGTTTGCACTTAGAGAGATATCAGCCACACTCATATTTTTGTTCACTTTCATTAAGTTTTAGCTGTTCCATCCAAAAATAAGAAAATTCGACGCAGCTTTTTTTTTCTTTCTTCTGCCTTTTTTAGTCATTTAGATCAAATCTTATGGTCATTTCTGTTTATGTGTGACTCTACAGATGATCCCCAGCTCTCCTTTGAAAACATCTGTCACTGATTTGTCATGGCGTCAAAGGTTTAATGAACACGGCTCCGTGGACGTTTTATGAACGCCACATTTCATTTGGGTTTGCCACTTTGCTCCCAAATTCAACTCTGGCACAGACCCTTAAAAATACACTTTTTCTTTCTTTGCATGGCATTCTTCCCCAAAATTCCCTCAATCACCATGTAGAAGTTAAGCTGCGTCATCTGTGGACTGGATAGCCTCAGAGCCCAGCAGCAAGACCATCACCGCTCTTGTGAGTGGGTTGGACGTTAAATTAGGTTAACTGTGTTTATTGAAGAAAAACACAGAATATCAAAATAGCATCTGTTGTGACAGTTGCAGAAAAAAACACTATAGATATTTGAGGAAACTTGGAATGTTGTCAGAGTGAAAGCTGGGTTTATGTGTGGAGCCTCAAAACAAAATAGTGGATTTCACAGGAATCTTCTAATGCTCTGATTGTTCTTCATGCAGCCTTTCATGCAGAAATGTTACCCCGTCACCACAATCCAGGTACTTTACCCGCTTTACCCTGCTGACTCTGCGGGGCCCTGCAGTTATTCTGGGAACGGTTTTGTTTACATGCCCCACTAAACTGTTTATTCTATTAAGGCCTAAAGAAAAAAACCCTTTCTGGGTCATTTGTAATCATCTTTTTTTTTTTACCCTACATCATCACAACAATAACAATGAAGCTAAAACAGCTCTTAACAAACAACATGTCTAATGCAGTCTCAGAATAGCCTTTTGCATTTACCAGAATACTATGCATGCTTGTGGGTGAAGCCAAGATCCTCACAGCTCAATCAACAAAACAAACTGATAAAAATAAAGGATGCTCTAACCTCCAAGCCTGTGTAATCTTGTAAAAGTACAAAATAAATGTAACTTTAAAGCTTTTAAACATACAGATGTGCACAGTTGTCTGATGTGGACTCTATAGGAGCACCACGGTCCCCGTTTTTGACTCATCTGTCCCTGGAGCTACAGAAGGGGAATTTTCCTTCTGCTTTACCATCAACTTTATCAAATTGAGACCATTAGTCACTTCTGGTATTATTTATGGCTCACTGAGCCCACAAGGCCAGTGCGTGTTCAAACTGTTACAATAAATGGTAATGTGTGTGTGTGTGTGTGTGTGTGTGTGTGTGTGTGTGTGTGTGTGTGTGTGTGTGTGTGTGTGTGTGTGTGTGTGTGTGTGTGTGTGTGTGTGTGTGTGAATACAACATTGTCATCATTTACAGATCAATGATTGACATATTTAGTCCCAACTGAAAGAACAAACGTCTTTAGGATTGTGCAATCAGCGATTTCTGAGGTCATTTCTTAGATTTTTGTTTTCCAGGTAAAAAGCTGAAAACTTTGTAACATGAATAGAAAGTGACGTTAACCTCGATCTAAACTTTTATTTCAGTCATAATCTTTTGTTTGCTTCTCCCCCCACAGCTTTGGAATGGTCCATGCCAGATTAAACTAAATATGAGACAGGATCTCTGCAGCGCTACATCAAATGATGTAGATTTAAAAAAAAAAGGGTGCACATGAAAACAAAATGATCCCTTTTGGGTTGTTTTAAACTCAGTCAGACAAAAATATTGTTCAGATCTTAAACTGTTCTCAGAGAGGATTTACATGACTTAACTGGTGTTTTGACCTGTTGTGTTGATTTTACACAACTGCAATGATTTTGTAGATTCTACAGCATGTTTATGTTGTCACATTAACTTTTGAGTTAAAAAAGTTTGCAACAGAACTCTTATTAACCCTTAACTTAAAACTCATTGTGCTGTTTCCACACAAAAATATAGTAATTGCTGTTTTCTTGCAGCCAGTGAGTCTTTGATGGTCTTCTCTTCAGAGTCCGGAGCTTCGAAACATTAAATGAACGGTCTTTTTGTCCTACCTTCGACTGAATAAAAGTGTGAACAATAATCAATATGTGTGACACCTAGACCCTTATGACCTTTACTTCTTAGGAATATTTTAAATACAGCGGATCAGTTTTGCACAATGGTTGTTTTGATTGTTTAAACTTCTGGCTGACTGTTTCCATGGTGACCCTAATGAGCCACTGACATCAGTTCTCACATGTTTTTGTTTTAATTTGGTTCTTTTTACATTTCAGTTAATACTTATTAAAGCTTTGAGGATTATTAATGGAAGTCTCAAAATATCACTGCAATTTTCTGCTAAAATAAAACCTTTTTAAGTTTTGCATTTCAAGCCTTTAGATGCAGTGAAGAGTTTCTTCACAATGAAGGTGTGATAATGTGTCATCACCTGCTCCTACGTCTTTGAAAGGAGAAAAAATGCTGCCATCCAAAGCAGACTGAACCAGTTTAAACACACGTGTGTTGCAAACTTTTATCGCCCGTCATCAGTGTGTCATTGCTGGGATGGCAGCTGCAACAGCAGCTGCTGAGTTGGAAAAGGGATGTGAGTTTTCAAACTAAATATCCGCACGTGCACATCTGTTCCGTAACGGCTTCATGTGGATGTGGTCCTAATTACAAGGTTCGTAGAGCACTGTTGGGTAATTTAGTTCCTGAAATGACCAACTTGTCATCTTGATTGTGTAGATGAGTTACCTGATTGACATGCTACGGGGGAGTGTGTTCACAAGGATAAACATGAGTTTAAAGCCTGAAGGGAGCCAGAGAAGAATCTAAAGTCCCCAGTAGGAAGTGGAGTGAGGTTGTCGTGGTTTCTGGTCCACGCCTCGATACCGAGGCCACTTCTGGCCGGGGGGAGAAATAAACTGTCAGGTAGATTGGTCTCCCTAAATTGTCCCTAGGACTCTGTGTGTGTGTGTGTGTGTGTGTGTGTGTGTGTGTGGTGTGTGTGTGTGTGTGTGTGTGTGTGTGTGTGTGTGTGTGTGTGTGTGTGTGTGTGTGTGTGTGTGTGTGTGTGTGTGTGTGTGTGTGTGTGTGTGTGTGGTTTTTTATCCTGTGTGTCCCCGTGTTGCCCTGCAATGGACTGGCAGCCTGTCCAGGGTGCACCTCGCCTGTTTGTCTGGAGACTGCTGGAGATAGGCATCTGTGACCCAGCATGGATAAGCGGGTAAAGAAATCGGGGTTTCAGGCATTTTAATAAACAGGATTTGCTTAATTATTGTGAAAATTGTGCTTTTGTTTAATGTTGCAACAAGATTTCTGTACCAAAGGTCTGCCTTTCACCTCAAGCAGAAAGCTCTTGTCGGTAAACGTTTCTGTAAAGTGTTTAATAATGATGCAAACCATCTGAGGGCCTAATGCACTGCAGGGTCAAACATTCTTCCACCAATGCGAAAAAACATTATTATGATTTCCTCTCTCAATGAAGAGAAGCAGCTTAGATATCTTTTTCCAAACCATGTTTTCTGTTCTGAATGAGCTTTACACACTTGGATTGTGTTTTGGATTCTAACATTTGCTTCAAAAATAAATCTTAGTTTGCTGTTTGTCAAGCATCCTCACCTGCCGGTTGTAAAATAAATGTTTCCACCTGAAGACAGAGATTGCCAGCAAAGTGACTTGGCAAGAGTTCAGAGTCTTTACAAAACAAATAAATAAAAATCCTTACATTCTCATACAATCTGTCTGAGCGAGGGGCATTGAACTTGGTTTAATGATCCACACACAGACACCACACTCTGGCAACATAATGAGCCTTCTGTAAATACTCACACTCCTCAGGTTATTTCCCAGTCATCAGGGGAGTTCAGTAAGTAAATGGTTAAATAACAGTCTGTGGTGGAAAATCAAAATTAAATAATGTTTTGAGGAAATGAAACTCTCCACACTAACTAGAGTGGAAGCTGGACAAAGATGAGCTTTAAGTGCATCTTGTGTGTCCTGCATGTAGCCTTTAATATTTCAAAATCCCCCCCATTGCCTCCGTGTGCTTCTCCGTAACCCTACCCCTCTTTTCTGCAATGGAAAAATCTGGTGCAGGATCACAAAAGGGCCTGAGCTTCAGTGCAGAGACGTATGAGGCTACAAAACATTTGCTGCACGCCCTTAACTCCCTTATTGTCTCTCAGGGCTGCTTCTTCTGCACAATGTTGTGCAATTAAGGCCCTGAAGATTAAATGAGCGTTCACAGCAGTGCTGCAGTCTCATATTTACATGGTTACATTCATATTATTATAATTTTTTAGCCAGTGTCAGATAAAACATACACAACATTACAGAAGTATGAGTACCCTGCTCCGTTGGTGGTTTAAATGCTCAAGCAAGCTGCAACATATGAGAATTTGATACTGGGAGAAAATAAAAACACAAAATAAATTAAATATTGCACATTTTCTAAAGTTCACACCAACTGTTTCACCTTGATGAATGAATAATTAAAGGTCAGTGTGTTACTAAGATAAACACACCGTCCAATGGACCTCCAGCTGAAACCTCTCTGCATCTTTTAAACTCTCCTTCCGAGGGAAGAGGGATTATCTTCCATTGATCCATGTTGCCTGAATCACAAAGGCTCTGCAGCCCCGTGCAGCAAATCACGACTACATTCAAGTGAGCAGACAGTTGCTGCTCGTGCACCCATCATTACACCTTCAACCCGATTGAATCCTTTAACTCAGACAGCGTTCTGCTCCACCGCTGGATGATGGTTGTGAGGTTTTTGAGGTGTTTTAATCTTCTGGTTGCCCTCTGGCGAAGGCTGTTCTGGCTGAAGTGGTGGATAGGATTTAAAGTCATCCAGCTGAGTGGGCTGCAACGGGGCGGCCTGCTGCGTCTCCAGATTGGGTGCCTCTTTCCTCTCGCTTTGCTGGAAGTCCAGCGTCAGCGTGTTCTTACAGCAGAAATACTGCTGCCAGATTTTCTGAAAGGCCGTGTGAAACTTCTCAATGCGGAAAGCGTAGACAATGGGGTTGACGGCAGAGTTGCCATGCGAGAGCAGGATGGCGATGTAGAGGAGAACAATGGGTTTCTTGCACTGCGGGCAGAAGAGTGTGATGCAGTTGATGATATGAAGAGGGAGCCAGCTGATGGCAAAGAGGAAAAGCACCAGAACCAGCGATTTGGCAAGATTTACAAGCTTGTCTTGAGGACATAAAAAATTGGATGACTCTAAACTTTTTGCTTTTAAATCAAGACAAGACGGAAGTTCTCATCTTTGGACCAGAAATCCAGAAAAGGAAATTGCTTAGCCAATCGCCTGACCTGAATGGCATTACATTAATCTCCGAGAACAAAGTAAGGAGCCTTGGTGTTATCTTCGACCAGGACATGTCATTCAAATTCCACGTTAAACAGGTTTGTAGGATTTCCTTTTTCCACCTTCGGAATATTGCTAAGATTAGAAGCATCCTTTCCAGGAGTGATGCTGAAAAACTAGTTCATGCATTTATTACATCAAGACTGGATTACTGTAATTCATTACTATCAGGAAGTCCACAGAATGTAGTTAAAAGTCTTCAGCTTGTCCAAAATGCTGCAGCTAGAGTTCTGATGAGAATTAAAAAGAGAGATCATATCTCTCCTGTCTTAGCTTCCCTACATTGGCTACCTGTTAAATTCAGAATAGATTTTAAGATCCTCCTTCTCACATATAAAGCTCTTAATAATCAAGCTCCATCATACATCAGTGATCTGATTGTTCCATATGTTCCTAACTGAGCACTTCGCTCTCAGACTGCAGGTCTACTGGTGGTGCTTTCTTCTACAGTCTGCTCTTTAACTGTATTATTTTCTGCAATTTCAGCTGTTAACTTTATTTTCTCTCTAAGTGTTTTTATCCCCAGAAGAAGCTACTACGATGTTCTGCTGAGCTATGGTGGCCTCATGGAGGGCGCCATCGACTATCACAATGCTGCTAACCACTAAAACATTCTCCCTCTCCTGATAATAACTTTTTGCTTTCCTTGACGTTGGATGTGCTACTACTAGTTTATCCAATTAATTATCGATTCACTAGGATAAATACAATAAAGTTTATCTTTCACCAAATAGAATATTTACTAAGACATCACAATATAACTATAGACATATTACTTGTCTTTGTGTGTGTGTGTGTGTGTGTGTGTGTGTGTGTGTGTGTGTGTGTGTGTGTGTGCGTGCGTGCGCGTGCGTGTGCGTGTGCACGTGCGTGCGTGCGTGCGTGCGTGCGTGCGTGCGTGCGTGCGTGTGTGTGTGTGTGTGTGTGTGTGTGTGTGTGTGTGTGTGTGTGTGTGTGTGTGTGTGTGTGTGTGAGTTGTGGAGGATGGCTGCTTATACTGAGCCAGGATTCTCTGGAGGTTTCTTCCTGTTAAAAGGGAGTTTTCCTCTCCACTGTCTCTTTATGCTTGCTTAGTATGAGGATTGCTGTATAGTCACTGACACTTGTCAGTGACTTGATGCAATTTGCTGGGTTCCTTATATAGGAAACATTATTTCTTATTGGCTTAATGAACTGTCCTGAATTGGAATGTTTATTATGTGAAGTGCCTTGAGATGACTCTTGTCGTAATTTGGCGCTATGTAAATAAACTTGAATTGAATTGAATTTAACTCTTTATCATAGTACTTGTTGGGGTCTGAGTAGCTGGAGGTGTTTTTCTTGTTGTTAAGCTGCTTGTGGATCATGTAGAAGATCTCGGCATAAATGGCCAGCATGAGCAGCAGAGGGGGGAGCACCCAGCCAAAGAAGTTAAAGTAGACCATGTAGTCCATGCTGATGACCGTCTCAAACTGGCAGGTGACGCTGAGGTTGGAGCTGATGGAGCCGTTCTCCTGAAGGCGTTTCAGGTTGTTCCAGCCTAGCATGGGCGTGAGTCCCACGATGAAAGCCACCATCCAGCACATCACCACTGCCGCCCCAGCTCGCCGAGGAGTCACCACTCGCTTGTACCTGCAGGAACAATCAACATGTCAGCATTTTTACTCAAATGGGACACGTCATGACCGTTTGTCTCAAGATATAATAGTTTTATGGTCAATACTAAACGTGTTCATGAAGTTCTTTGCAACAAATCCCGCTCAAGAAGCAGTCTCAGCAGTTTTATTCTTGACAGTTTCAGTGCCTTCCAGAATGAGCCGTTTCAGGGCTCTGTCACTTTACTAAAACAAGCTGGAGCTGGCCATGCCCACCCCTCCCCGTCTCAGGCTGCAATAAGCTGAAAAGCTCCAATATCTGGGAGGGGCTTAGCGTTGAACCGTTGCTCCTCCATTAGCTGCCCCCTCTTTCACATGAGAAGTGGTTCTTTTCCATTTTCCCCAATTGTGATGTCACAAATAGGGACTTTTTGAATCAGCTTGTTGTGGAAACATAACATAATGAGAGAAAATGAATGGATGTTTTTCATGTTTTTTCATGTTTGGGGCATTTGTAGAGGCAGTAGAGACATGCGTAGCAGCACAAAAGGTGATTTTTGCAAAATATGGCCCCTAAATGGAGCGTTAATGTTTTCTTCGCTACTTTATTTGTCTTTCTGGATTGACAGCATTAATTCACGAGGATGTTTCACTCATTCATTCAGAAAATTCCTGCTTTTCAAAAGCTTCTTTTAAATAGTTTTGTTTTAATTTGTTGATCTTGGGTGCAGAGCCACTCCTGACCCTCAGATCACATCTTGTTCATGTGTAGATGTTTTAAGATCAGGCTGCCCCTAAATGTTTTTGCAGCAGTTTTGCTCCTATTTGTATCTGTATGTGCATGTTAGTTGATGTGTCTCTTAGTCGCTTGTTATTTTGTAGTAAACAAAATAGAATTTTGGGGAATTTAGGTGATTTTTGTTCTTTCAAGAGTTCTGGTTCTGAGGTTTTAAATTAAAAACATGTCATCCAGAAGAACTTGAACACAAATATAGCATCTCATGAAACACATAGCATCAAACTTTGCATCTTCACCTCCTTTCATGTTTGATTTATAATTTCACTCATCATTTTAGAAGGAACATGCAGCAATATTTGTCAAGATTAGATGTTTTTCCTTGCTCAGAAACAGGTTTTGTCATTTACTTCATCTAATAAGTAAAGGTTAAAGAGGTTAAAGCTCCACAGCTTCAGCTCTCTTGTCTTCAGACCCAGAGGTGAAACAGAGACAGCCTGACACTCGCCTGAGGATGTTTGGTTCTGATATATTCTGTAAAAAAAGATACATTTTTCTGAAAATGAAGATCTTTCATTTAAAGCTGAAACAGAGCAGATACTCTCCATTGGATCATCCTATAAACATTCACTGGCAGCACAAATCGGTCTGACTGCAGTTTTATTCTTAAACAACAAACACAAGCAATGGGAAACAGAGGTCACTCAGTATGAATTAAAGCTGAGTTTCACCTGGATGTGTGGGAAGTCATCCAGAACTGTATTTTTAGACCTCAGAGACACATCTGTGTGCCTGATAGGACAGATGTGTTCCAGCTGCTCCACAAACACTTCAGCTTATAAACAGAGTCGAAACATAATCAAGTCAAGCTGTAATCAGTCTGTAAGTCAACAGAGGATCCAGGCATCAGTTATTATCTATGGTATAAATTAAATTTTTTGTTTGCTTGCTTTATGTCATACTGATCATTTATGTATGTAGCACATATGCAAATCAGGTGGAACAAAAAGTCAAAATGCAGAAGAAATGAACAGAGGTCTACGTTTAAAACACATAGAGATCAAAACTGAAAATTAAAGGTTATTAACTGAAAAAAATGCAATAAAAATGTAATCATGTGTTTGTGGAAACTTTTTTCTGAAAAATGTTTATTGAAATGAAAACTAACACAGGTTCATTAAACAAAATGAAAAGAAAAATGTTCTTTTTCCCGTATAAATGTACATATTTTAGAATGATGTTTTAAAAATTTAATAAAATGTTTGATGAATTAAATAATTGTCAGAAATTTATATATGTAATAATATTAAACTGGCACTTGATGCACTAAGATCCTTCACCGGAGGGCAGATGACATGTAAAGGACTGCACAGAAGGATTTTGTGAAAGAAAATGTGGCAGTAGCAAAAGATTTTGTTCTGCAGGTTGGTCGAGTCACACTCCATAGTAGCCTCAGCAGGTCTACAACTGGCCCGAACAATTTTAGGTCCAGACAGTCACAGAGGGACTTTGGGTTTAGCATAAGAGCTGCGATGGGGGAAAAAACTACAAAGATGGTGTCGGATCAGGAACAGTGCTCATTTGATACGACTTTGAACGAATTGGATTTGGACTTTTTTTTTAGATGTGAGCAAATAGATACTTGAGTCATTTATTAGTCATTTATTTAGTAAAAACATGTATTTGCTGCTTCTTCTTCTTCTTTGACAGTGTATGGCGGACTACCCCGTTGATCGATTTCTGTTGTGATGAGTCTGTTGTTCGTGGCTCCAACTGGTCCTAGCGATGTCCAATTGCGTGCAGAGACCGTCCGGAACAACAACTGTAAATTCTGCACCACAACGGAATTCTGATGGGTCATGGCTAGAATATAAGTTTATAAGATGGTTAACCAGGCTGTGGGGAAGTATCAATCCTGTTAAAGAGATAGAGCTAATTTAAAACAGTGAATCAAATTAACAGTGTTTAAGGGGTGTTGTGTTTAAATTTGTTCACTGGTATTTGTGTGCAGTTAAGAAATGGTGCTATGCTTTGATGGGGGGAATTTTAATGTTTTGATCTGTGAATCAAACAGATTTTTTTAAGTTGGGTTTTTCTAGTAAAACATGAGATGGTCAGAAATCAGAGAATAAATTTACCTCTTTGACCCATGCAAAATCTTGTAGAAAATCTCCACTTGCTGATTAAATATTGTTTTGTTTTCCTTCGTCAGTAACGAGCTTCCATGTGCTGCCTTGTTCCTGTTTGACGAGAACGGATAAAACAACAACTTTGTCCTCCAAAGCCTAAAGCTATGCTCAAAACCCTGATTTTATAATGTGATTATCCGAGTTCAGTGGCTAAAAGTATGACACAAACACATACGTGAAGTTAATGCATTTTTATTCCGTGCCTCTACATTTCTTAAGAAAGAACACAGTAGATTTTCACTCTCCTTTCAAAATAAAGCACCAACCCTCTAGTAGTTCCCTCTCTCATACATATTATCATTCCAAATATAATAAACTATCTACTCTTATTTACAAAGCTTCTCTATCTTGTTTGATCAGGTGACATTTATTTATCACATTAAATGTTAAATGAATCCAATACATTAACACTATATTTAGATGAGATACACGTACGGTCCGATTTGTCATTTGGATAGCACTGGCAGATATTTCCGCAGCAACATTTCACTTCAAATATCAAGACTACAATTCTCGAAAAAAATAAATAAAAGTTTGCAATGACACTATTAAAATGTTTAGTGTTTTTTTTAATAGGTCAAAGAAGCAGCTGTTTCACCTTCAACCCTGTGAGACAAACTCTTTATCCTGTAGAAAAACTCTAAGTCCGTGGTTGTTTCAGCCCAGTCGGATGTGCCGTATGTTACAGATCGATGGGAGGTGTTTTAGGAGAGTTCGAGGACCAAAACTTGGCATGGAGACGGTGACATGAACACAACAGTCTAGAGGATCCTCTGTGCTCCATCAGAACACCTTTTTTTTTAAATGCCAATGTGTGAGGGGTTACGGTTGAAGAAGAGTGCTCTGCAAAGTAGAGAAAGTCAGAACAGGTGAAATAATCTTCAGACATCAGCTAAAGATAAATATTGTGCAACATCTGCAGCTGCTTGATGTGCTTTCCAAATGAATTCAACATGTTTGGAAGGAGCTGATCTTTATCTTGGGTCACTACAGGTATCGCTTCATTATTGTTATCTTTGTCATCCTCGGCAATCCCAAAGGGTCCAAACTGACTTGCTTGATTTTGCTCATGTTACAGCCAGACGTTGTTGCCTGGCAACGCAGGATGACCAGAAATGAGTCGCTGTCAGAGAGTTAAATTGAATTTGCAGGGGTCTGCCTCATGTGGGTCCTATTACTCTGCAACAGTTTCTAGATGAGATATAGTACCATGTTTAACTCCAGATTTGCTTAGAAAAGACCGCAATCTTTGAGGTTTTCTTTGATGATGATGTCTGTCACGGCGTTGAACACAATCTCGACGTTCTTCGTGTCTGTGGCACAGGTCAAGTGGGAGTAGATTTCTTTCTGACCCTTCTTCATATTCAGATCCAAGAATTGTGTCTTGATGTAGTTGCTGGCGTCGTCGTACGTGTTGGGGCCTGAAACGAACAATGTTTTACTGTGAGGAAGGTTCTCTTTGTAGAATCAATCTGTTATTTTTTCAGTTATACCGTCCGCTTTCCTGGATGTTCTTTCCTGTGACTTTGTTTTAGCTAAGTGTGCAGGAGCATTAAAGTATCTGACGTGGTCTCACCGTCGTAGTCTGGGAAGCAAATACTCAGGTGGACTTTCTTGATCTTCTCTTCAAAGAGATCCTTCTTGTTGAGGAAAAGCACGATGGAAGTCAGCGCAAAGAACCTGTGGTTGCAGATACTGTTGAATAGATGGAGCGACTCGTGCATGCGGTTCTGAAAGAGGCCAGAGACAAACATGGAGAACTTGCCTAGATGCACCGATGCTTCATCATCACACTGACAGCGACTCACCACTTCATCGTCCTCTACCAACACCATGTCGTAAGCGCTGAGAGCTCCGCAGAAGATGATGCAGGTCACACCCTCGAAACAGTGGATCCACTTCTTTCTCTCTGACCTCTGACCTCCCACGTCAAACATCCTGTTCAGGAAGTCAGCACAACTCAGAGTGTCCAAACTGTGCTGGGATCAGTTTTCTCCACGATTTACCTGAAGTGCAGCTCTTTGCAGGAGAACTGTTCTTCAATGATACCGGTTGTTTTGACTCGAGATCGCAGCACGTCCTGCTCGGTTGGGATGTAATCTGACTGGCAGATTCTGTCCATTTCACTGAGGTAGCTGAGAGCATCGGGACAACCGAAACATCAGCCAAGTGTAAACTCAGAATCGATAACCGTGTAGGACGTGGACTCACTAGCCGGCAGAGTCGTTTAGCTGGTACTCAGCAGCCCTCTCAAAGGCGGCCTGCACACCAGAATCCTTCCACAGCTTCTTGATGACATCAGCCAGCTCAGGAGGCATCGTTCCTTCTTCAATGGAGTCCGACAGGTTCTGCAGCTTCTGTGCATCCTCCTGTGGTTTCAAAGATCTATCAGCACTTACACAGAACTTCCTAAATTAACCTTTGTGCCTTTTTTATGTACAAAACGAGACCTGAGCAGAAGGTGTTCCAAAATCTATGCCAAGCATCTCCATGCCTCTGATGATAGCCAGAGCAGACTGCAGGATGTTGCCATAGATGATTGCTCTAAATTCCATCTGCTCCTCTCTTGTGTAACCGCCTTGATGGAGAATCCTGCATGCGGGAAGAAGATTTCATCAGAAAGTGGTCACGCTTTGCATCATTATCTTGGTCAAGGTGAAGAAATAAACACGTATGTTCCACAGTAAAAAACAATGAATTATGCTAATCGTGTGACTATTGTAACCTTTAGTAAAATGCACAATAAAACTCCTGTCATCTCCTACTGATCCAGCTGATCTAGAGCTCACAGTGCCACCCTGTGGACTCTTCCTGACACTCTTTATTTTTCTGCTTTATCAGCATGCACCCATAACTGAAATCACACCTGAGTAGCATCAGAATAAAGAAAAATCACATTATGTGACTCACTTCATTTGTTTGACAATGGTGCTTTTCCCTGATTCCCCAGCACCTGGGAAAAAAGACAAGACGTTACTCATGGCATGCCTGAGCTCTACTCTCCAACGTGCTTTACAGAGTTGCAGAATGTTTTGATTTCTGACTCCGTCTGGATTTGATTTGTTATCCAATTCTTAAGGTCATCTTATGACACTTTAAATGAGGGGGGGGGGGGGGGGGGGGTGTCAAAGTTTCATTTCTGCAATAATTGGAACAGAATGTGTCGCTACAAGCAGAAATCTGCTAAATTAGCAATAAAAGCATGAGTCTCTCACATGTGACTGGTAGTTAGATGAAGAATAACTAGAAGCCTGAAAGTCACATGGTGTAGAAATGAGTCTCGATGGATTTGTGCATCTGTTCCTGTTCATCAACCACAGCTTCGTTTGAAACTGTGCAGGTCATAAAGTCCATGTGAAACATAAATAAATGAATTAATCAGAATCACTGCCTCTTACAAGATGATAAACCTCGTTTGCACTTTGTGTTTTAACAGTTTTAAAAGTGTAAATTTGTGTTTTTTAGAATTCTGTGACTCCAAGACCAATTTTTGCAACTCTTAACAGCCAATAAATCCTTGATTTTACACAAGGAGAGTTTGGATTGGCTGTATATAATAGTATAGAAGAATGTTGCATGCTTTATGTGGGTGACCCACGTGTTTTCTATGACAGAACTGGACGTGCTGCTGTAGAAAAGCCTCGGAGCAGATCAGGATCTGCTGAGCAGAAGGATTTAATTACATGACTTGCTTGTCGTCCAGCTCCCACTGACCAAACTCCTGCAGAATATTAATAACATAGCCTTTAACTCTCATATTAGGTTTGGTATTGCATCAGTGTTACGTGGCAACAAAGGTAATACTGCTGAATAGGAGTGTCCATTTACCTCATCTTAATCAGCCAACCAGGTTTGGGCCAGCGTGGACTTTCACAGGTTTGTCTAGCTGTGTTTGGATGTTTTTACAGAAATACAAAAAATATGTAATATTTTCATAAATATTATTTGAACTAAAAATAAAGACAGAAATTTGACCTTATTTGTTAAAACTACTTTTTCTTTCATGTTTCAGATGTCAAAAACGAAACTTCCTTTAACATTTTTATTTAAAATGCATCATGTTTTTAAATTTACTGAAGTTTGAACATTTTGGTCAAACGTGGCTTTTACCTGTTTTATTCAGATTAAATCTTCATCTATAAATAAAGATTAGAATTAAAATGTACCCTTTTGTATTTAATCATATTTCTGATCTTTTGCGATCCCTTTTCCTCAAATTATCTTAACAAGTTTTGATTTTCTGACATAAATAAAGTGAAACATCACTGATGTTTTATAGATAAAACTCTAAAGTAACCTTTGAGACATAATCTGTTTTGTAAAATCTGTCAAAGTTTGTATAAAGTGATTGAACCACAGGGCGGAGCTTTTTTGTGTCTCCTGTGTAATTTCTGGTGTCATCAGCAGTGATGTGAGCACTGGGGGGGGGGGGGGGGGGGGACTTCTCTGTTTTCCTGATTTTGAGGTTCATTGTTTACCAAATTGAAGTTTCATGACCCCACTTTTAAATTTTGACTGCAGGATTGTTTAATGGAGGGAAACTCTTATGTGTGAGTGGAGGGTCTACAAAGACCTCAGCAAGTGGATCTGCTGTAAACCTGTTAGCTAATCGGATTGGAGTACCGCTGCAAGGCTGTGATTCATTTAGACTAAGATCTCTTAAGAACCTACGTCCTTCCGTTAGAAACGAAAAGTCAGCAGCACAATTGTTACGTTTGCAGGTTTATTTTTACAAACTCAGAAATATTCAAAGTCAAACTATGCAGATTTGATTTTAACCCTGGGAAAATTATGGAAGTTGTTTCCTGCTATTTGTCATTTCACTGACATTCCACTAACATATGGTTTTGCCACAGCAGAGTAACCAAACTCACATAAATTTGTAAAATATATTAACTTTAAGAATCTTTAAAGGTTGTTTTAATCCCTCCTCAGACAGTCTAGATCCAGAAAGGAACGGAAATCAAGTCAGTAAACGTACCATGAGACATTTAAATGATGGCATCTATGTGTGTTCATTCTATTTTTGTAAACAAATCTTAGATCAACTCATTTTCTTCCATCAAGCTAACGTAAAAATTAAAAATGCATTTGTACAGAAGCTTTTCAACCAAAAACATCTCATCAGATGACTTACCGAGCAGCAGAAGTTTGACTGTTTTCGCCTCTTTGTCTGCATCCTCCTGGAGCTGCTTCTCCAGCTCCTTGGACTTTTTGTCCTCAGCACTGGCTCCTGCACCCATGATTTCTTCCTCCGCAGCCTCAAGATCCTCGATGAGAGAAATTTTGACAAATATGTGAGCGCACCTGCAGAGAAATCAGGCACAGCACTAATTGTGCTGAAAGGATATTTCTGAGCGAAAGGGGATTGGAAATGGAGGGGTCTGAGCCTTCCTGGCCTTTCGATTAGATGCAACGGCCTCAAGGCTCTAATGAATTCGCCAGCTCTCACCAGCAGAGATTCACTTCTTAATTCCTTGTTCTTAACCCCGATTTAGGAGGGGCCTCTTCCTGATTGGCTAGTCAATCCATTTAGCCTATTGAGGGCAGTAGTAAGCGATGGAAAGACAGGAGAAAATGATCACTCACAACCTTTAGAGCAGTGAAAGTCATTGATATCAACAGCTGTTTGGACACTAACAGACAGATGTGATCTGATGGGGGTGACGGTGCACACACAGGGTGGAGAAATGAAGAAAAACACCTAAATTACTCATAATTTACATTTTAGTTATTTTTCATGAAATCGTTGACTCAATATCTACCTGGACACTTTTTAGCTCAGAAGCAAAGTTTATTTGGATAAATGTGTGTTTGTATTAATAAAAAAAAATAGGTTTTGCTCTTCTCATCCAAACTGCTTGTTGTACTCTTGACTCCAGCATCCGTCACATGGACGAGGCAGGAGAGCAGCATTAACCTCTCATAAACGCCTTACGCTTAAGAGGTTTAAATCCCAGGTGGTGTGGTCACCTGCTAAATACAGACTGCTCTCTGCAGTTTGGTGGGTCTCACTGATAACATGACCTCAATGCATGTTATAAATCACATAATCTACATCCACCCGAGGGAGTTCTGACACATTTCTCGTAAATGTTTCATCAGCCTTTGGGGCTTAAAGGTTAGAATTCACCTTGTCTTTGGGATCGTTGGAGGATTTAAAATGAAGTTCAGTCAGAAGACATTTTTGTGTGAAAAAAGGGTTGGGAGTTTGAAAAAATATGATAATTCTATTCATTTTAATGAAGTTTCAATCAAACAATGTAATCCTAAACAGAGTGTGGCTAAAACTAACCCACCTCCAGTCTACCATAACAGTCCACTTTAGATTAATTCGGAGCCAATTTGCAGCTCAAACACCTCTGATTAGTCCTAGCACACAAAAAAAGATGAATAAATAAACATCGAGGTGCGTTCTGCAAGACTTTTCACTTGTTGTCAAAAGTATTGGATCACAAAATGTATTATTTAAACTGTGCTTTTGTTCTGAAAGTCTCGCATGTCTTACTCAGTGACTCGTTGCTTTAGTTGTGTGTATTTTGGTAGAATTTGACAGTTCATCGTGTGTAAATCTTGAAGTTGAATAAGTCTGTTGGTATGTTGCAGATTGAACAGACCTTGGGTCTGTTCCTCCTCCATGCAGGCAGACGGGCTGAGATAGTTTAGTGACGCAATGGTCAAATCGGCTCATTAGCCAACTGAAGGATCGACTAACTGGAGCATCTGAAGGTTTTTTTTTTTAAATAAACAAAAACAAAGTATTTTAGGAATCCTGACAGGAAATTCCACCAGCATGGTGTCTGTTTTGTTTATTTCATAAGTGAAAAGAAAGCCCTAACATCCTCGTGTACATGAGGAAGCATACAATTTCTAAACTACTAGTTTAAACAAATAAAACAAAAATACTTCAGTTATGAACTCTGCCTTTAGAAAACATTTTTTGCCTTTTTCTCAGCTTTTCCTGCAGCCCTCTGCAGGCTGACTTCTTCGATGCTGGGTACCAGAATCACACCATTCTCACATTTTCATGTAGGCCTAATTGCATGCGACCTGGTTCTCTCAGGGCTTTCAAACAGGCTAATTACTGCATACCAAGAGATGGTGACCAATCTCATTAGCCTGTGGTCGGTGTGGCTTCTCTTTGTGCTCAGTCGTTCGGTCTCTGATCTGTTGACAAGATTACTCACAGAGCCTCAGATCAACCTGAGTGACAGGGACGCACCATGTTACATCACAATGCAAGAAAATTGAGGAAAACTTGCCTTTGTGCCACAATAATTTGTCTGAACGTGTCAAGATGGAAGACACAGTGATCACCAGAGAGACTTTAAAACGTCACTTATAACCAGTCATTCTGGTGTTTGAGAAGGGTTCTTCAGAGAGGTTAAACAGTCAAGCATATTGAGACAAACATGCAAACAAACTGTATTAGAATAATGAACCCACTCATAGACCTTTTTTATATAATTTATGTACTTTATGTAAGCCCAGTGCTACTGCTGCTTTTCAGTACAATCATATCAGTGTGTGTGAAAGAGACAAATAGACTAAAGTTCATTAGAGCAGTCTCTGACCCATTGGGTGATGCACAGAGACTGTATTCTTCCATGTTGCCAGCCACCACGCGTGACCTGATTTAGCCTTGCAGACCTGAGCAGATTGCATGCTGGGATACTAAGCTCCACAAATACTTCAAAATAAAATAAAATAAAAACTGATATTTCTGCTGGAGCTGGTGTCATTAGCAGCATGCATGGGTGTGTCCGTGCAGGTGAGAGGGAGGAAGTGTGTCTAAGGTCAGTGAATAATTTCCTGTAGCCTATAAGAGGGATTAACTCTCAGGTCAACTTTCAAGCAAAAGTCAGAACATGGATCTGAAGTCAGTGTGTCCGTGTCAGCTCTGTGACCGAAGGCTGTGTTAGGACTTCTCCCATCATCACATCCATCTGCCGGGAATGCCTCGCGCCGAGATCGACTACTGAACAAACAAATAGAATAAAACCCAAGACACCGTTCGTTCTTATGGTTTTGCGTTTGGAGCAAGGTTTGACATTTTTTATGTTAAAATAATTAAAGATAAAAAAATAAATAAAACCAGCATAAGACAAAACTCCTAAAAGAAGTTTGAGTCATTAAAAAAATAGATAATAAATAAATAAATAAATAAATAAATAAAGGGATGCGGTGGTTAGCACCGTTGCCATGCAGAAGAAGGTCCTGGGTTCGCATCTCGGCCTGGGGACTTTCTGCAAGGACTTTGCATGTTCTCCCTGTGCATGTGTGGATTCTCTCCAGGTCCTCCTCCCACAGTCCAAAAACATGACTGCCAGGCTAACTGTCTGAATTATCCTGAGGTGTGAAGGTGTGTGTGCATGGTTGTTTGTCTTGTGTATCTCTGACGTTGCCCTGCGACGGACTGGCAATCTGTCCACGGTGTATCCCGCCTGCATGCCTGTGGACTGTTGGAATTAGGCGAGCCCCCCCACGATCCTGCGTGGACAAGTGGGTTCAGGTAATGGATGGATAAATAAATAAATAAATAAATAAATAAATAAATAAATAAATAAATAAATAAATAATAAAGAGCTAACTGTGGGGTGGGTGGTGCAGAATTTCTGTCAGTCTTTCCTTCCACAAGAGGGCGCTGGTTGCACACATCTATCTATCTATCTATCTATCTATCTATCTATCTATCTATCTATCTATCTATCTATCTATCTATCTATCTATCTATCTATCTATCTATCTATCTATCTATCTATCATCTATCTATCTATCAATCAATCAATCTATCTATCTATCCATCTATTTATCTATCTATCTATCTATCATCTATCTATCTATCTATCTATCTATCTATCTATCTATCTATCTATCTATCTATCTATCTATCTATCTATCTATCTATCTATCTATCTATCATCTATCTATCTATCTATCTATCTATCTATCTATCTATCTATCTATCTATCTATCTATCCATCTATCCATCTATCTATCTATCTATCTATCTATCTATCTATCTATCTATCTATCTATCTATCTATCTATCTATCTATCTATCTATCTATCTATCATCTATCTATCTATCATCTATCATCTATCTATCTATCTATCTATCTATCTATCTATCTATCTATCTATCTATCTATCTATCTATCTATCTATCTATCTATCTATCTATCTATCTATCTATCTATCTATCTATCTATCTATCTATCTATCTATCTATCAGGAACATGTTTTCTTCCGTTCTAACATGTTTTATTTAGTGTGTCTGAAGCTACAAGTTGTAGAGATTTCTGCAAACTTAGCTGTTACACTTGTTTTTTTTTCATCCCTTCTGCACTTGGGTGTGATTTTTGCAGAACACCTGCTTCTTAGAGGAGTCGAGACAGAAATTAGATTTTCTCCGCTTGTACACATGAGGTGTGTTGTGTGAACATTCAGGGTTTTAGACATGATTCTGCAGCCTTTTGCAGCTTTTCTGCTTTGTCTAGGGTCGTGCTGAGGACAAACTTTCCTGCTTTGAGTTCTGACTTTTTATCAGGAAATTCTGATTTCAGATCAGCCATGGTGAGACCTGGATGATTGTGAGTATTGGTTTAGTCTGTGTTTGCTCACTACAGAGATTTTGTAATGTCAGCAAATTCACCAACTTCTCTATGCTGGCTGCAACAGATCCAGCTCACATTCTGTCCTCCAGCATGAAGGTTGAGCCCACAGCAGGCTGAGACAGTAGCAGTCAGTAAACCCCACATAGTGAGGGTTTAATTGGACAAAAAGTACCACAGAGTCCAGTTTGTGCACAAAATAAGGAGACATTTATTAGCAAAAGGAGAAACGTTTTCTAAAGTGTTTGGAGAAACTGTGCAAAGTTAGAAGATCTAACATAAATGCAAGTGTTTACAATGTACTTCTTTTAAATTGTTGAGAAATTGTGTGTTTCAAGTTATGTACTTTATTTATTTAACTATATTTAACCAACAATATGTTTCTTTACTTCATGTTTTTACAATAGGTTTATACAAAACTTAACATGAATTTGTGTTTCACATTCCTAGTCTTGCCAATTCTATGGATGTTACATAAAAATGTCATAAATATAGAATGAAAAAGCTTATTTTAACAAGATTTTAGCAGACATGACATCCTTTCGGCTTTTCTGATTATAATCATTCACTCTGAGTTTTTCATGCAGGGTGAACACCTATCTCCTGCATTAGCTTCTGATAAAAAAGAGACAGCGAAACTTTAGGATATAAAAATCCTGACAGATCTACGTCACACTGTCACTTAACATTCATGGACTCCCCCATCTTGACTCAGGATGGGGAAGGCTGTTGTTGGTTTAACATCCAGGAAACATCAGAGAATGTCTCGGCTAGTAGAAGAGGCTAGTATTAGCAACTCCACCATACAGCAGAGCTCCTCCATGCTTGTTTT